GTGTGGTGTATGTGGTGCGTGCGGTGACACCATACAATAACCACGACTCGGGGCCACGGTGTTCATGCTGCGTTGTGTGAGGAGGTGGGTCGGTGTGTGGTGTATGCGGTGTGTGGTGTATGCGGTGTGGTGTATGTGGTGCGTGCGGTGGGTCGTTGTGGTGCGTGCGGTGGGTCGGTGTGTGGTGTATGTGGTGTGTGCGGTGGGTCGGTGTGTGGTGTATGCAGTGTGTGGTGTATGTGGTGCGTGCGGTGACACCATACAATAACCACGACTCGGGGCCACGGTGTTCATGCTGCGTTGTGTGAGGAGGTGGGTCGGTGTGTGGTGTATGCGGTGTGTGGTGTATGCGGTGTGGTGTATGTGGTGCGTGCGGTGGGTCGTTGTGGTGCGTGCGGTGGGTCGGTGTGTGGTGTATGTGGTGTGTGCGGTGGGTCGGTGTGTGGTGTATGCAGTGTGTGGTGTATGTGGTGCGTGCGGTGACACCATACAATAACCACGACTCGGGGCCACGGTGTTCATGCTGCGTTGTGTGAGGAGGTGGGTCGGTGTGTGGTGTATGCGGTGTGTGGTGTATGCGGTGTGGTGTATGTGGTGCGTGCGGTGGGTCGTTGTGGTGCGTGCGGTGGGTCGGTGTGTGGTGTATGTGGTGTGTGCGGTGGGTCGGTGTGTGGTGTATGCGGTGTGTGGTGTATGTGGTGCGTGCGGTGACACCATACAATAACCACGACTCGGGGCCACGGGGTTCATGCTGCTTTGTGAATTTATTTATTTTTTCATGGTATTTTCTCAGTGTAAATGTTTTCCGGTGTTGCGCTCCGGCCGCCGCCGGTCATCCAAAAAGACGATCGGAGGCGGCGCGGCGGCGCTCGGCGTCCTCGTTATAAAATCATTTACATTTTTACCTTTTTTTTTGCTTTTTTGTTTTTTTTCTGGTTTTGCTTTGTTTGGAACCACAAACATTCCGTTATCACACCGCAGGAGGAGGAACAGCGAAACCTTTTGCATAGAAGTAAATGAACGCAGACGGAACGGTTTTATTTACAATTTTAGTTTTCTGGAGAATTAAAAAAAAAAAAAGATGTAAAAATGGTGAAAAAAAAAGATTTTCTCTTTCGCTGCAAAACGGAGAAACGCGCCGCCGCCTCTCAGCGCGGAGAGGAACCGATCACCGGACGGAGAATTGTACCGCTTTCTCTCTACGTTGTCACGTCTCCCATGCTGCTAAGTACAGGATGTAGAAAGCACGTTCGTGTTATAAGGACGAGTTCCGGGACGCCACCCACATGGGGGAGGAGCTATAGGCCGTGGTTAGGCCTGCGGAGAGGGACACGGATACAAGTGATGAATCTTCCTGACTACAACGCCCATCGTGTGGGAGGAATGGCCGCCCCTCGGGGCGCTCACGTCTCCGGGCTTTCCGTGTTTGTTAGGAACACGGAACGTGAACGTTGTCACGCGTCTGCATGGAGTGTAGCCAGGCCCCGTGCGCAGTGTTTGGCTATAAAGGACGACGCATGCGGTCACACTATGTACATCTTAACTGCTATTTCCTAAACTCAGTGGGCGTGGCCTGGAGATGGTGGGCGTGGCTTGTGCAGTCCCAGAGATGACTGACAGGCGTGCTTATTGCTCAGATACATGCTTTGAATGGCAGTTGCGACACAGCAGGTTGAGGCTTCGCCGCGCGCAAATCATCTACAAATCAGAAACGCAAAATACTTTTGCCGTGGTTACCTTTCACGGGTCTGCCTTGTCTCTGTTATTCCGCGGAAGTAAATGGACACGAGGCTGTTCCTGAGACTCATCAAAGAAGCCTCCAGCTACGGCATCACCGGCCCACCCACCCGGGGGAAGTCGCTTCTTACAATGTGTGGAATGGTTTCTATCGATCTGTTGCTGTCGGCAACAAGAACTGTTCTTCATCGAGATACTTTGATACAAAAAGACCCTTCACCCCGCCGTCATCTGACCCTTCAACCCGCCGTCATCTGACCCTTCAACCCGCCGTGATCTAACCCTTCCACCCGACCGTGATCTGACCCTTCCACCCGCCGTGATCTGACCCTTCAACCCGCCGTGATCTGACCCTTCAGCCCGCCGTGATCTGACCCTTCGTGTTCCTATTCTGGGAAAGATTTGGACTGAGGCCTTTCTCCATGATTGGATTTACAATTAATTGATTGATTTGTATCGATATCTCGCCGGTGTATTTACAGCCGCAACCAATTGAGGGCTAAATCTGAGCCGCCTGTGACTCTAACGCTCTCCATTGTCTTTTATATGAACGACAATTCCCGGCAATTTCCCTCATGAAAATGCGTCTCTGGAATTTCTGTGTAAACTTTTCTCTCTTTTTTTGGTATTTTAGGTTTTTACTTTAACGGAATTGTTTCTATTTTTTACATAAAATAATCTTCCATTGAACTCGCTTCTTCTTCTATAACTTCTGCAGAATAACCCCAAAGATGGGACTGCGGCTCTCACACCGTGACTACAAAAATACGTCTCAATGTCAATGGAAACCTATTTGATGTTTCTGTACACCCCGACGTGTCTATAAAGAAGATTATGGATGTGATACGGACTTGGTTTCCACCTCCTATTGTTCCTCCGCGGAGGTTTCCATCCATTGTTATATCCTACACGGGAGTTCTCTAACCATAAAATATATATTTCTTCTATATACCCGTACGTCATATTCAACACTGCCAATTGTCAGGGAAATCCTTCCCTTCTATGTCAGACGTGGAGACAATGATGATGCGTTAAGGCGTGCCGTGCTCCTTGTACATAAACTGACCTATATGTACCC